TCTTGTCCTTCTTGTTCTTCTTGTTATTATTGTTTGTCTTGTTCTTCTTGTTCTTCTTTTTCTTCTGGTTCTTATTGTTCTTCTTGTGCTTCTTGTTCTTTTTGTTCTTCTTGTTCTTATTGTTCTTGTTGTTATTATTGTTCTTCTTGTGCGTTTTGTTCTTCGCGTTCTTCTTGTTATTCTTTTCTTTCTTGCTTTCCTTGTTCTTCTTGTTCTGCTTGTTCTTCTTGTTCTTCTTGTTCTTCTTGTTCTTCTTGTTATTCTTGTTATTCTTGTGCTTCTTTCTGTTCTTGTTCTTGTTGTTCTTGCGACTGTGAATGGCACAGCTATAAATGCCATGTGCAGACATCGCCTGCACATCTCAGCAAGCGCAGTCCAAACGCACGCATGCCCTCGCTCGGGCAAAACTTACTGGTGCTCAGCAGGGAAGGGAAGGACCCCTGTGAAGCATCCTGGTGGTTTCCTTCAAGACCCCCAGGTTCATTCCCACTAGGTTTTTTCAGTGGTGCCCTTTCTCACCCCTTTTTTGGGGGAGGGTTCCCTAAAATAGACTACAGAGAAAAGGGCACCTATCTACTGGAGGACCTAGCCCACATTCCCTATCACAAGGGGACTCCCCTTGGGCCGTCCCTTGGAGCCCAAGAGGACCTCGCGGGGCTGCTGTGCGCGGCGCTTGCGAGGCGGGACAAAAACAACGCCAGGATGTTGGTCAACAGAAATACCCTAACCTGTTTACGACCTCTTTGTTGTTGCGCAAAACGACTAACCGGTCTTTTTTGGGCGACCTTTGGATTTTGTGTCTGTTTTTTATACCTTTTGCGACATTTGGCACGTATGTGTGGAAATCATACCCTTGTTTGGGTATCAGACACAGGAATGCAAATTACATGTACATGTTCAGACATCCCCGAAAAATCGGGAAAATCGGTGTGAGAGTGTTTCTTGGTTCAGGCGCCGGACAGTCATCAAGGGGGATAAATATTGAGCAAACCGAAGTTCCCGCAGGCGTTTGACAGAAGCCATTCATGAATTACGTGGTTCGCAATTGAAACATTTGGAAGATCTGTGGCTAAGTGATTGAGGAGGAGTACACGACCAGTTTGAACGTGGCAGCAGCTCCATTGGCAATCTGGGTTTCGGTTGTGATTGTGTTTGGGCAAGCGGGAAGACACGCGTGCAGTTGCGAATTTCTGGGTGATCGGATCTGAAATCATTGTTCAGCCACACAGCTCGTTTCCCTTTGAGAGCAAATGCAGTGTGTATAACTAGTTGGCCTCGCAAGGGGCAAATGTTTCTGCTCTTTGAGCGATGAAGCCAGTGTTTAGCATCACATCTGTTATCGTGCTTCGAACTGGTGCAGCTCCATCCATGAGTTCTATCTATTCCTACCATGGTAGGCCTGCATTTCGGGAAGCAGATTACAATGAAGTCATCTGGCTTTCGTTCTGGGCATGTTTTGGGCCAGTTCCTTCCACCAAAATTGGAAGAGACGGACAGCTGTGTTGGGTTTTTTATCGGAAAAGCTGCAGATGCCTGAGTCTGACGCTGCATGTGCACCTGTAGGCTTCCGTCAGCATGATTACCCTACAGGCACGTGAGACTTTGGGCCGGCGACTTGTTAGTTGGAGAGGGCCAGGTTAAGCAGCATTACGCCCAATCCTAATTTGATGTGCTTCCCTGGATATTGCGAGAAGGGAGTATGTCATCCCTGTTGTTATCCATAGTCTGTGATCCCTTGCAACTGTGCCTGCCTATTTAAAGCGAAGAAGATTCGCAATACAATTATTTTGTTGTAAATAGGGGACCCCAGTTCCGTTTGCGGAACACCCGTCCAAACTGGAAAACGTTCTCATGCAATGTTCAAGTCTTGGAACATTTGCATTGCAGAACACTACATGCTTGCTGTGCAACTATTGCAGCTTGATTCTGGTCTTTTCCTGGAGGGAAAGCTAAGTACTTGTGAAGTCTTAGACAAACAAATGCAAGGCCCCTTAATTAAGTACAGGGCCCCTGTCTTGCCCAGGTTCGATGTTTAAAACATGTAGGGAAGCACGTTTACAAGGGTCATCCTTTTTAGTGGGAACACATCATCCTTTGTTTTGGATTATGCTGAAGAAGCAGCTTACCATCTCGGTGCACCCCGGTTGGCCCAACTGTGAGCGAGAAAACAAACAAACCAGGACCTAAGGGCGGTCCTGTTGCCTTGTGGGACACGTTTGGAGTGCCATCAGCTTGGTATGTTTTCTAAGGGTGGAAGTGCGTATATACCCCTTGTTCATACCCGTTTGCTTCCGTGGTTTCCAACCCATCTCATAAGGGGTATATGCCCCTATAAGGGGGAGAGGGGTATGAACATCAGCAGGCCTTTTGGGTTCATTTGCCAAACGGGAATGTAAAAGGGGCATGCGCAAGCCCTACTCATGTCCCAACAAGGCTCCTTTTAGCACCTTGGAAGATGCCCTCCTGCCGACGGTATCTATGGAACGCACAGAGAAATGGC